TTGGTGGCCCTGCATTGGTGGGGGGTTGGAGCTTCGTGATCCTTGAGGTCCCTTCCAACCCAGGCCATTCTATGGCTCCATGATTTTGAGGCCTTATCAGGAAAACTTGCAATACTGAGATTCATTTGGTGTATTATAGGATTTTCAGTCAAATGGGAAATAGATGTGATAACGGCCTTCATTTTGTGAATTGATCTGATCTTTGATTTAAATGACCAATTCTAATTCTGTTCAGAGCTATTTTTGTGCGTAGTACAGAACTATTTGATAGCAAAATATCAAATTTTGGTAGGGTGTAGAAGGGGCATGGCAGGCTGATGTGACTTGATCCCAGATAAAAGCTTTTCAAAGCAAAATAAGTAATGAGTGACATAAGGTGAGTACTTCTGCATATTCTAGTTTGCATCCCTTGCTGACAAAGTACAAGAAAAACTTGTGTCTATAACTATGTTCTCAAAATTAGTGATCATTATGGTTTTCTTTCTGATTTTCACTGGCAGGTTGGTAAAAATGAGCTGCTTCCAGCTCCAATATCTCATTTTGTTGTAGAATTAATACATTTTCTCCATTCAGTGAAAGTGGGATTTGGAAGTAGGAAGACTAATGCACATTTTTGCAAGGGGAACTTGAAGTTCTTGTTATTGCAATGAGGTGAAGAATTGCTTTTTGTTCCAGTATAAACCATAAAATGTAGTCATCATCTTTGATCTTCAATGTTGCTTTTTCTAATTCAATTAGAATCATTTATATGTAAATTGCAGTGATATTGTGTTCACATTAAAAACAGCACAAAACAAAACACTTTTTATGTTAATATTTTGTTTATTTAAGTAAAAATATACAGCAGAAATGAAAACATCAAGTGTGTTTCTCTCCACTTTCTTGTGTTTTTCACATTGCCTTTTCTTCCCTCGATTGGGCACTGCATTAAAAGTCGTTCTGGAAAAGACCATTAACAAATAGACATCATTGCTGGTTCTCATTTAGTCTTTCGAGGCACAAATGTGCAGCTGTGCTTTCTGTGTGGTGAATGAATTGATCAGAAAGGTTACAGGAGCTGACATCCGTTGTGCCTTAAAGAACTCACTGGTTGGGAGATGAATCCCATTGCCCAAACCGTTCCAATTTGTTTCAAAACAAATGATTTTTTGAACTCTTCTGGAAGATCTCATTGCTCATCATTCATAAACATCTTTATTTGACCTTCTCAAGCCCTCTCTCTTGTTTGAGCAATTGAGCCATCCTGCCACTCTGCAAAGGATGAGAGGTGTGGATGAGCCGTGTGTCTTGCAGCAGACTGCAGGGCTGCAGAAAGGTTCTGTGTACCTGGAGGTTAGGCTGCAAAGCAGTGAAGGCTGTACATAAGCTTGCATTTTTACCCTTTATGTGACTGAAATCTTCAGCACGCCAGAAAAGCTTAATACCTTTATTTTTCCATTGCTTAGGAGCCCAAAAGGCTTGAACTCAAGTTTTATGCCTGCTCTTGAGGACCCCCGTCTCATTACATCTGAAGTCACAGGTCAGCAATCAGACCTCAACTCTGAGGAGAGAGCAATACAGTTACTGTTGGGCAGGTGAGTGATTTCTGAGTGTCACTGCAAATATTGTCCTCGTCACAGAATCACAGAATGGGTTGGAAGGGAGCTCAAGGATCACGAAGCTCCAACCCCCCACCAATGCAGGGCCACCAACCTCCCCATCTCACAGCAGCCCAGGCTGCCCAGGGCCCCATCCAACCTGGCCTCCAACACCTCCAGGGATGGACGGGGCATCACAGCCTCTCTGGGCAGCTGTTCCAGCACCTCACCACTCTCTCTCTAAACAACTTCCCCCTGACATCCAACCTCCAGCTGCCCTCCCTCAACTCCAAACCATTTCCCCTTGTCCTGCTGCCATCTCCCCTTTCCAAGAGTTGAAAGGGTAAATAATATTTGCCCACTTCATACTGAAAAATGCTTTTTGATCTTTCATGTTTTCCACATTTCTTGAGTTGTGCATAATGAGAGTTAGTGCAGACAGGAGGTGCTTCATACATCTGCTTGCACAACTAATATATGGACAGCCTGCATGGTTCCAAGTCATTTGGCCTAAAATTATTATCAGAAAGTTGGACCCCAATATTTCAAAAGATGAAATTATTTAATCACAGAATGGCCTGGGTTGCAGAGGAGCTCAATGCTCATCCAGCTCCAAGCCCTGCTGTGTGCAGGTCGCCAACCAGCAGCCCAGGCTGCCCAGAGCCACATCCAGCCTGGCCTTGAATGCCTGCAGGGATGGGGCATCCAATAATGGTTGTAATACTGTTAACTGTTGTGTCCTAAAATATTGAGATATACATAAAACAAATACGTTGTTTCTGTGAAGAGCTTGCAGTCTGTAAAGTGAAAAGAGAACCTGTTCAGTTAGTTCTAATTGTTCTCCAGATATTAAGTTGATCTTTGTCTCATTTTATGAAGAGTAGCAAGAATGTAACTGGTGCTTGCATTGTCTCTGTTCCAATCAGGAGTGTGCAGTGCAAGGACTGTCAGGTGGGCACCTGCTGTGTGAGCTGCATGCAGAGACAATGTAGCACAAAATCAGTGTAGAATAGGAAGTGTTGTCAGAATTCCTATGAAACTGACTGCAGAAATGGCATCACAACACAAAGTCGTGTTTCTTTCTCTTGTGTCCACAGTGCTGATTTGTCTCCTGTGCATTTCTGGGATCGACCAGGTTCCCTTCTGGATTCTCTTTCTATTGGGAGTGAGGTGTATGACAGTGAACTCAATGATCCCCACTATGACCAGAGTCTGCTTGAAAGTCTTTTTTACACCACACCTGTAAGTGGAGAGCAGAAGGAAAGTGCTTCAAGTGAAAGAAAAAAGCTATAGATTTCAGAATGGTTAAAGGCTTAATGAATATTAAGTATCCTATAGAAACTTGTGAGAACTGTGCTTGAAATTAATAATAGGAAAGGAATATTAATAAGACTACAAATTCAAGCATCAGATTGGAAACCTTGAGTCTGTGAAGATTCCATTTCTGTACACGGATTGAATTACTTCACATTAAGCAATCCACAAGCTAAGGTTTTTCTTAGTTTATCATGACCTCTATAAATCTTGATGGTGACAGCAAACTTCTTACTTGATGTGCATTACCTCTGTTTCAGAAGTCAGATTCCAGTTTAAGTGATTTCCTCAGTGATGAAGATGTGAAGCCTTCCAAAAAAGGAACCAAAACAAAAACTGTGAAGAAAGCTGATGCTGCGAATGCACAGAAGGATTCCACTGCCTCAGATCAGGATCAGAAGGTGACAGAAATTAAACCCAGGTAAATAATTACATCAGCAACTCATTCAGTAGCATCTTCCTTACTGTAAGCAGCTCTTAGTGCTCTGTTGTGTGCTCTGTCACACAATTTACTGAGTATGTATCCACTTTACAGGGATGGAGCTGACATCAGCAGGGCCTGCTTCACTGCTCAGTGTTCTCTGCTATATCTGTAGGATGTAAATTTCTTCAGTTCTGACCTGCTCTAAACTACATTTTATTTTGGTTTTGTGTTTGTGTTTTCCCCATATCAGAACCAATGAAGGCCCAGAATATCCAGTTATTTTTTTCTAATTCTTTGACTTTCCAGTAGTTCAGGTGAGGAACTGAGAAGATTTGAAGTGATGTCTTTTTAATGCTGGGTGTATTACTCAGATTGCATATTATCACACATTTTCTTTAAACAAGGAAATAAACATTCTATTTTACAAAGCCAGCAGTGTAAGGTTCTTTTTTTGCTAATTCACAGGCACACATGTAAGGGATTCTCAATTCTAGCAGATAACCAAGAAATTACAGTAAGCAAGAGTGAATTAGAAGTTTCTCAGTTGTGTGTCCCTCAAAAATCTGGTCATCAGGATTCAGTACCAGCAGTATGAAGGCTGGATATTTTTTTCCTAATTCACCACTATTTCATTATTTATGATTTTTTTTCTTCCAAATACTTGTATTTTTTTACCTAGAAGTAAAGTTTGTACTTCCAGAGGTACCAGCACAAAACCATGGACAAATCAAGTCTGAGAAACAAGGTGCAAGTGAGATTTTAGATCAGTCTTCTGTTCCTCTGCAGCAGTGACAGAACCAGGCAGTTTCTTCTGCCCTGTCTGGGTGTCACATGAAATAAACCTGTTCCTTTTGAAGGGTTCAACTGTGTAAGCATTTGTCAAAGCTCCAGCAGCATGGAACATGCTCATTTGTGGTGTTTGGTTTAAGTAGTACCCTAGATACCGTGTGTGGTATGATTCCTGTTCCAGAGACCACCAAATTAATTGTGAAATGTATGTTAAAAATGTGCATTTTCATGGACTGTGAGTCATGTAATGTCCCACCAAGCTGCAGTTTTTACCTTCACACAGTTGTGTTAAGAGTGTTTGATTCTCAGTTTTATCTCTGCAGCTCCTCTTCTACCAGACAGTTTGCTCCTCCAGATGTTGACACAGAAGAAGCTCATGTCACAGCCTTGAGTGTTGACAGGTTGGCTTTGCTGGGGAGAATACACCTGGCCAGAGTCATCATTGAGAGCCTGAGAATCTCTCTTGAGAGCATCCAGACTACACCAAGAAAGAAAGGTTTAATGGGGAAGCCTCCCAGGCCTGCTTCAGTTAATAAGTGGTAAGGTGAATTGTTTCTCACTGAAGTGTTACCATAGAATCATAGAATTGCTGAGGTTGGAAATGACCTTAAAGGTCATTGAGTCCAACCTCAACGCAGCCATCCCACCCTAACTGACAGCTCTCTACTCTCTACATCCCTGAGCACCACATCCAAAGGGTTTTTAAACACATCCAGGGATGGTGACTCAAACACCTCCCAGGGGAGCCCATTCCAGTGCTTAACAACCCTTTCTGTGAAGAAGTGTTTCCTGATATCCAACCTAAACCTCCCCTGGCACATCTTGAGGCCATCTCCCTTCATCCTGTCACCAGTGAGAAGAGACCAACCCTGCTCTGCTGCAATCATCTTTCAGGTGTTGCAAGAGAGCAATAAGGTCTCCTCTCAGCCTTCTTCAGACTAAACAGCCCCATTTCCTTTAGTTAATCCTTGTAGGGTATATTCTTGAAGCCCTTCACAAACCTTATTAGCCCTCATTAAAGGCTTGTTATCTGTGCCTTGGAAGTAGATTTTGCTGAGCTCTGTTGTACAGCCAGGCTTACCCAAGCTTTTCAGGCTTTTGAGGTCTTCCTGTTTCTCTGGTCATCCTGGCAAATTGCATACTATAGATTTAGAGGTGTGAATAATCTGTCCTGGTTTGGTCTCACTTCAGGCTGGATTTTTTCCAGCATTTTGGGGCAGTGTGCTTTGTGCACGGCTGAACTCTGAAAGCAAAAGGTGTTTTATTAGAGCAGAACTTGAACCTTCTGAGCAACCTGATCTAGCAGGGCATATCCTTGTGCAGTACAGGGGGCTTGGACTAGAAGACCTTTCAAGGTTCCCTCCAGCTCTAAGGATTCTGTGATTTACTCTTTTAAAACAGAGCAACTTGATAAATTGTGGATTTGAAGCTCGTCTGCTTTGTTTGGTTTTGCTGTGTGCATTAGCATCCACTTTGGTGGACTGTGATCATGAATTCATTGTGTGCTTTGTTTGCTCACAGTACCTTCTTTGTGGAGTACAGCTTTCCTGTGGGAGCCTCCAAGAATGAGAAAGGCCAAGTCTCCTTAAGGACAGAATTAACTCGAATAGCTTCAAGTAAAATCACAGACGGAGGTAAGATCATTATTTGTCCCCTCTTCTGTTTGGTGTTGTCAACTGCTTCATCTCTTAGCAAATGTTTTCTCACCTATTTGTTTGCTGCCTGAAAAATGCTTCAATTTTATATTCCAATTAGTGGCACCTCTAGAGAGTTGGTGCACTGTGGGCAATGGAACTCTCCTCTCTGGGAAGAGGAAACCGTAAAACATAAAATCAGTATTCTTTCTGCAATATTCAAGATGAAGAAATGCTTCTAGAAATATCAGGCACTTCTATCTCAAATGAATAGCTGCCTTTTCCAGATGCTGAAACGTGCAAGAGCTCAGAGAGTCTCCTGGGTCCGAGAGATCCTGGCAAGTTCTATGCTCAAATCAGCAGACCTTCATCTCTTTACTGAGAATTGCCACTCTTGGTGTCTCTGAGATCAATTTAGGTTATGTTTTTTGCCCTCAATGAGCAAGGAGTGGTGCATGGGTGAGATCTTCTATCCCTTGTCTTCCCAGAAACTGGAATTCCAGGGTCGTGTTCAGTTGACTTTCCCATTCATTGGCTTTGGCTCTTTCTGGGTCATATTCATTGTGTTCTCTTGGGAATTCTCCATCTGTGTAGAGACAGAGCATCTGAACCTTGGCTCTTTGTAACACAAGGATAACACAGCTCCCCACGCTTTGCCTTGTGTCCTTAGACTGCAGTTCTCTGGAACTTAGAAAAATTGATGAGGTTGGAAATAATTTGAAGAAACCACGCAGTCAATCCACTGTGCAGTTGTCTTCCCTGAGAGCTGCTTATCTCATTTATTAAAGATTCCCAATAAGAGGGGTTCCTTAGCCTCCCTGGGCAGGCTATGAAAGTGCTGACCTTCCTGTCAGTAAATTTTCCTTATGGCCCACCTGAATTTTTGTCATCACAAGGCTCCTTATTTTATCTATGGTGAGCAAGGGCAGCTTGCTACCTCAGCTCTGCTACTGTACTTGTTCTTTTCCAAACTGAACACCATGCAGTCTTTTCTTGCAGATGCTTTTCTCCTGAACCCGTTCTTGCAGCTCAGCTTTTGACCCTCTCCAAGACAAGACAACATTGACATATCTGTAGCCTTTACATGCTATTATAGTATTAATTTTGTCATGCTGCACTCCTGCTGTTTTCTGGCCTTCGAAGATGAACAGCAGTTTACTTTTGGCTTGATGTTAACAAGTAAAGCAAAATTAGATGTTCATGTGTATATCAGAGGTGTGATTATCTCCACATGAAAGTCTATTAATATTCGATTAGTTCTGAATTTTTGTTGCTCCTGTGAGAGAAAAACCAAGTTAATTATTCACACTCTTGCAGCATGAATTAATAGGTAGAAATGTTGAGAGATTCTAGCAGCCCTTCCCTTTCAGCTGCCAGCCTTGCTTAATCTGCTCGTTCTGGCAGATGTGCAGAGATGTTCCCTGTGCATTTGTCCACCTTCCTCAACAGCCACTCCTTCCTCTCCTGAATTTCCTGTGTCCCTATTTGCCCTGCACTCTGCAGAGACTGAAGATTTCTGTTTCTGAAGAAGTCTGAAAGGTAGCTCAGCTCCAGCTAAGAGCTCACAAGTCTCTGTCTTCCTTGCAGTGGTGAAATTCCAGCAGCGATTTGTGTTCCCTGTCCGTTTTGGTGGAACCATGATAGAGCACTGGTGGAGCTCTGACCTTGCTTTTAAAATCTACATGCGAAAAAGCACACAAAGAAAGGTATTAGTAGTTGTTTATGCTTTGTGTATTGAAAAGCAAAGAAAGCCTTGGCAATTCGATTCCTTTCAAATGCTTACACACTCAGTAGTGTCTTCTCCAAGTCTTCTGCAATACTTCCTTCCCATTCCTGCCCTCTTAGCTTCAGAGACAAAACAAACTATTGTGGCTTGACTGAGCCACTTCTTAACAACCACTGCCAGACATTATGAAAGGAATCAACACTAGGTGTGGATTCTGTAAGATGAAGTGGTTGCTGTTCAATCTTGTCACCCAGCTAAATCATTTTCTGAGCTCAAGACTGGCAAGCAAAATGAAACAAAGTGTCCTTCCCTCGTCTTTAAAACTGAGCTCTTGCTGTTTAAGCATGCTGAATCAATTGCAAGCATTTGTCTCCAGTGAGAGCAGAGCTTGTTTAGATACATAGAGTGAGGAAGTGTGGATGCAGGTGATATCATGACCAGGGTGAGGGGAATAATGGCACAACTTGTGCATTTAGAGGGAAAAAATCTTTACTTGGAGCGAGTGGATGGAAGGAGCTGTATCTGCATAATCATCTACAAGCACTGAAAGGCAGCTAGAGATATTTACTCGGCCTGTGTTTTGTTTTAAACAACGCCCTTCTGTTCAAAAAGGAGCTTTTCTTTTAATGGATTCATAAATTGTGTCTTCAAGAATGGAAATCTCTCCCAGTCATGGGGATTTGGGATGTTAATTTTTGTGTTTATCCAAGTGACACCTGAAACAGGAAGCAAGGGAAGCTTTCCTACAAATCTCTGCTAGTGCAGCTGATGGTGTATGAGTGGGCAGGGTGAGTGGCTGACCATCATTTCCCAGCTCTTTCAGGAGGCTTTTTCTTGACAGCATGCCTGCAGCTATTTAACCTTCACAGAAATCTTACAAAATATGTTCTTGTTTACCCTCAGCCAGTGGCCATTGGCTCAGCAGTGCTTCAGCTGTGCAAGGTCATTCAGTCAGAGCTCCTCACTTTCAGCTGTGAAATACCTGTAGAAAAAGAGGGAGATCAGATACAAGTTGGACCCCTGAAGGTATGTTTTTTTATTACATGGGCTTTGTGCTAAACCACCTGTTGTTACTTATTTTGGCTGGATATTCTTTTTTTGTATATTTTCTCCTTTAATTTGTCAAGTCTCAGGTATGAAGGTACAAGAAAACAAAGCATGAAACTTTTTTTTTTTTTTTTTTTTTTAATTTTTATTTTCCCTCAAGCTGCCACAGAAATATTTAGAACCTTCTTTAAGGATTTCACTGTGTGAGTCTCCTCTGCCTGCAGAATAAAACAGATGTCAGTAAGCTGTCAGTAACCTACACCAAGGCTCTCCAAGGGCTTGGAGAGAGAAACTGCTTTGCTTTTTGTGTGGAACATTCAGGGCTGGGAGCCTTGGTGTATGAGAGCAGGAAGGCAGCAGATCTGAGCTGGGCAAAAAAAAACCGGATGAGGTTTAACAAAAGCAAGTGTAGAGTCTTGCATCTGGGGAGGAATAATTGCATGCACCAGTACAGGTTGGGGATGAGCTGCTGGAGGGGAGCTCTGTGGAAAGGGACCTGGGTGTCCTGGTGGATGACAGGTTGCCATGAGCCAGCAGTGTGCCCTTGTGGCCAAGAGGGCCAATGGCATCCTGGGGTGCATTGCAAAGAGCGTGGCCAGCAGGTCGAGGGAGGTGATCCTGCCCCTCTGCTCTGCCCTGGTGAGGCCTCATCTGGAGCCCTGCGTCCAGTTCTGGGTTCCCCAGTACAAAACAGACAGGGAGCTCTTGGGAAGAGTCCAGCGGAGGGCCACCAAGATGGTGAGGGGCCTGGAGCATCTCTGCTATGGGGAAAGGCTGAGTGAGCTGGGTCTGTTCAGCATGGAGAAAAGAAGGCTGAGAGGGAAGCTGATCCAGGTCTGTCAGTATCTGAGGTGTGGGGGGCAGAATGGCGAGGCCGGACTCTTTTCAGTGGTGAGTGGAGACAGGACAAGGGGAAACGGCTGGGAACTGCAGCATAGGAAGTTCTGCACCAATGTGTGCAAGAACTTCTTTACAGTGAGGTGACGGAGCACTGGAACAGGCTGCCCAGGGAGGTGGTGGAGTCTCCTGCTCTGGAGATGTTCCAGACCTGCCTGGATGCCGACCTGTGCGACCTGCTGTAGGGAACTGCTTTGGCAGGGGGTTGGACTCGATGAGCTCTGGAGGTCCCTTCCAACCCCTACAATTCTGTGATTCTGTGATCTGCGTTCCTTGGTTTCACACATGATGTGATCTCAGATCTCTCCTGACAGATCTGATGTTTCTTCCATCGATAGCAGATTGTGTCTTCAGGAGTTGCCTTCTTGAGCCAGAGATTCTATCAGCATGTTTGGCTTCTGATTGAGGAGTAACAGTTCTGCACAGCACAATTGAGAGGTTTGCCAGTTCTGAAGATAAAGAGCTCCCTAAGTTAAGAAGTGAAAGGTGAAGAGAATATTTAGACATTTTACATTCAGAACTGAATTATTCCCAAAGGATGTGAGTGTGCATTGGTTCTGACACTTCAGGACTTGCCTGATGTTCTCTGTCATATGGACCTATGAAACTTAGTGGCCCTCTTGTAGAATCACAGAATAGCTTGGGATGGAAGAGATCTTAAAGATCATCTAGTTCCAATTCCCCTAACATTGACAGAGACCCCATAGAAGTTGAGCTGTTAGTAGAGAAGCCACAGAAGAGAGCAAAACAGCACACTAAGGTTAGGTATAGGGGAAGAAAAGTGGAAGGAGACACTGTAGGAAACCAGTGAAACAGAATTCAGTGCACTGACTTACAGAAGGGAACACTGACCTTTATTTTTAAGAAAACTGATTCTGGTCACTCTATCTCTTGGATTTTACTCAGTGTAATACCTACCTGTCAGCAGGATACGTGTCCAGCTACTCTGGCCAGACGTGGGGGATAAGGGCTGTCAGCTGCTGAATCCACATCACATTTCTTGGGTTATTGCTGACAGATGCTTTCAGCTCCTCATCACGTGCATTTTGCACCACTTAGCAGTAGGTACTATTTGGGATCTTGTGCCTCAGTACCTTCTCTCATTCCTCCTAATTCTTAGGCAAAATTCTTGAGTGATTATTTTGCTTTCCTCAGCTGGGCATTTTATGGCTCAAGTCCTTTCTTCGTCATACTGCCCTGTGTTCTGAATTCAATTTATTCTTACTCTTCTTGCTGTCTTATCCATGACAGTCCTTATAATCCACGTTCTGGTGTTTCTTTTGTCATTTCACACACGGTTTCATCCATACCTGTCTGACTGTTTGAAATCTTGACAACACAAAGAGGTAACTCAGATGTAGGACAGAGTGTTTATAAATTAATAATAATTACAATAATAAAGAAATAAAAACAGGAAAAGTGAAGACAAATGCAGCACAATTGAAAAGAAGAAATAGAAGCCCACAGTAGGACAAGGATTAAGGGACAGCTAAAGCCAACAGGGAATGTAAAGATGTAAGATAACATTGAGAAAGAAACACTTTTCCTTTGGCATAGCTCTCCTCAAGCAGTAGTTGTACAAGGTGAAGACAGTGACAGATGAGATACTTGCTCAAAGAGCTTTTCACCTTGGCTAAGCATACATGGGTTACTACTTGGTGCAGTTCATTTTGCAGTCACAGCTCGTGCCTAAAGGTAAGCACCCTGGGTGATAATCCAACACAGTTTTAAACAAAACAGGCAATGCATTGTTCCCAAGTTCACCTTGCTGTCTGTTGTCTTGATATGGGACACATCTTCCCATCTGCTCTTTGCTTTGTTCAATGCAGTTATCAGTAGAGCTTGCAGCTGACAGCAAGGACTTCACCTGCACCACTGCCAGGTGCTCGGTGGCTGTGCAGCAGCAAATCCCACCTCATGCCATAAGAAGTCCTCGGATGGAACTTTGGGAGCCCAACAGGGACCGTGTGAATGCAGAAAGCTGCTTGAAATTAAGCAACAACATGGACTCAGACAAGACAGGAGCAGCCTGCACAAATGTGCAGCCACCGTGGTCTGTTGCAACCCCTGTGGCCCGTAATCTGGTGACACGATTGCCTGCAGCTGAAGATTATGGGTTATTACTGCATGTGCTGCTGATGGTGCCAGATGGGAAGGATTTTATTGCTGAAAACAGCGGACTCCACACTTCTTGTAATGTGTATTTGAACTGCAAGCTGCTCAACATGGAGGAGGCAACAAGATCTGCAGTCGTATGGGGTACAACGCAGCCTACCTTTAATTTTTCTCAGGCAAGTCCCCTCTTTTCTGTGTCAAACTGGTTGAAATGTGCACAGTGACAAACCTTTTGAAGGTTAGTTGTCCTTACCCACCTAGGGACTTCTCTGCCTGGCCCTGCCCATTGCACTTAAACTACTTCCAGTATTGTTTGGCTGTATGGCACAGTATGAGATGCAGTTTCTCATTCCCCTTTGGTTTTTTTCCTCTCTCTCTCTCTTTTTTTTTCCAAAGAAAGTTGAGGTTTATGACTGGAAGTTGACTGAAGAACACAGTTTTGTGCCATAACATAGGGTCACTAGAATGCTCAGTGCTTAGCAAATAGCTTTCAGTGTGTTCTGTGTCCTGATCCCATATGAAACTCTGCAGGTGATGCCTTTTTCCCTGACTTCCAAACACTTGGAGCGACTGAAGAACAACGTCATGGTTATTGAGGCATGGAACAAGGTGGGAAACCCTGGTAGTGACAGACTGCTGGGATTGGTGAAACTGCCTCTGCATCAGTTTTACATCTCATTCAAGTAAGTATCTTTGCTCCACATTTTCTTGGGTTGGGAGAAGTTGTAGTTGGTATTCAAAGATGGCATCTGATGAGTTGTGGGAGAGTCCTTAATAATAATCAACAGCAATGGGCATTTTTGTCCTGCTCAAGCTTCATCTGGCACTTCACTGAGTGATATTGGAGTAAGTCACAGTGTCCTGGTACAGAGATACAAGTAGACAGAGAGATAAACACCATGCTGCATTGTGCTTGGATCCAGGAAATCCAGGAACCATCCTGTGCTACTATGGAAGAGTAAAACTGAGAGAGTTTGAAGTGGTTCCATTGGTGATTTTCCAAGGTTGTGCCTGACTGAGTTTCGGTCTTAATTTTACTCTGCATAGCTCCCATTGCTAGGGATGTTGTCAGTTTGCACAGCACAAGGTAATGCTTGTGGTATCAAAAGCCCATCTACTTCAAATGGTAATTGTCATTTTATCTAATAGTTCCCTGCAGAGCTCTTTGTTCCTTTTGGTTTGCTGTTTTGGCTTCTTGATCAGTCAAATACTTGCTTAAAATAATTCAAATTAATAAAAATATTGGACAGAAAAAAACTCTTTCTCATGAAAAGGATTGGTTTCTTTTGTTATGGTCAAACTAATGATAGGAGGAAATCAGCTGGTGCTGGAACTGACTTGCTGCTACGTTGTCACTTATTAGTGTACTGTTTGCTGGTGGCTGGTTTGTTTCTTTTCATTAAGCTACTGGTTTGCTTGTGTATATCTTCACTGCACTATTAAAGACTTTGCTTTTTTGGGGGGAGAGTCACTTTCCCTTCCTGTATTCCTGCCCAAGTCCATCAGTAAGGACAAACAACTGCTTCATAAAAAACGGTACGTAGTTACAGTGATGTTAACAGGAGCCTTGTTCCCATTCATCACCTTGCTCACAGATCTCCAGGCTGGTTTATCACCACGGGCACTTCATTTTTTTTAGAGCTGTACTTTCTTGCTGCTGAAAATAGCCTTTTTCCAGTCAGCAGAACTCAGAGCTGGGCTTTATAAAGGCTGACGTGATTGAGCCAAATTTTGGAGAAATGGGGAGACAAATGGGTTTCTAACTGCACTGAATGTTCCATTTAAAATGAAATGCATGTGATGCAGCTCCTATTCATAGAATTGTATCATAGAATGATAGCATGGCCTGGGTTGCAAAGCAGCACAGCGCTTATCCAGCTCCAAGCCCTGCTGTGTGCAGGTCGCCAACCAGCAGCCCAGGCTGCCCAGAGCCACATCCAGCCTGGCCTTGAATGCCTGCAGGGATGGATGGGGCATCCACAGCCTCCTTGGGCAACCTGTGCCACTGCCTCACCACCCTCTGGCTCAAAAACTTCCTTCTCATATCCAACCTAAACCTCCCCTGTCTCACTTTAAAGCCATTCCCCCTATATTCCCATGTATTCATGTGGCTCATTCTCATGATAGGGCTTTGTTTTTTCCTTTTCATCTACTCTAGAGACCCAAGGGTTTCCCACCTGCTGCTTCAGGCTCAGTATCCAGTGGTTGCTGTGGACAGCTACATGCCTGTGATAGACGTCTTCACTGGCAGTAAATGTGGAAGCCTGAGGGTCATTCTGGCCATGGGCTCAGCTGATCAGATCGTGGCACTGCAAAGGCTGAAGAATGAAGAAGGAATGGAGCCTCCCATCACCCAGCGCCCTGCTCACTTCCTGGACCCCCCTCCTACAAAGCTGACAATGGTATTGTTCACTAAATTCCCATTCTTGCTGTTAGGGACAGATGGAAAGAATTTTACCTCTGTGTTTATTAACAGACCTGGTGATCCCTTAATCTCTTTGTAGGCAGTTTTGTTATAGATGATGGTGTTCTGTACAAAATGATGGTGTTGTACTCCTTTGTCTGCTTTCTCTCAGCAGTCTTGACATTATTCCCTTTCTTACTTTCCTATACATCCACTGCTTCTATTTATGTGACAAGTGTAGTAAAGGAAATATTACAGGAAATGTTAATTTTCACAGTACCCCAGTGGTTCTGAGCCCCTCATTTTGGGCTCATTAGAAGCTCTTCTTGCCAGTCTTCTTGCATGCTGTTTCCTATACAGACTGCCTTTCCATGTGCATTTTCTTCTGCTTTATTAGCAGTTGGAGAGAGAAGGGGAAGAACTGATGGAGCATGTCTTTGAGATTCATGTGGAGAGTGTGAAAGGACTCACTCCCCTGCAGTCCACAGTGTGGGGAGAGGCTGACTGCTACGTTCAGTACTATTTCCCAGTGCAAGAGGCTGGCTCTGGTGCATTGCCAGGAGCAGAACTGCACACGGATGGTAGGTTTGTTTTGTGATATCTGCTTGTTTAGAGCACTGCCATAAGTTAAGTATTTCCTCAGAGCTCAGCATACGAAAAGGACCTCCAGTCCTTGGGCCAGGTCAGTAGCTTAAAAGCCTGCCTCAGCTGAGGTAGATGGCAAAGTGTGCAGCAAAAAAAGATTCCTCTTTCTGAGTGTATTCACGCAGTGCATTTCTGTTGAAGAGCACTGAAGAGTTCACAGACTGACCTTGCAAACATACAGGAACAAATTTGCAGGAAATATCCCTGCAGGCATTCAAGGCCAGGTTGGATGTGGCTCTGGGGAGCCTGGGCTGCTGGTTGGCCTCCCTGCACACAGCAGGGCTTGGAGCTGGATGAGCATTGTGCTCCTTTGCAACCCAGGCCATGCTGTCATTCTGTGATTCTATGAAACACTAAGATTCCAGGGTTAACTTCACCAAAGGCTTTCTGTGCCTTTTGAGAAACCACCTGTTTTAAATCATTAGCAGAAGGAAGGAGTATTTTGAACCATTTCAAATGTAGAAAAGGACTTAGTCTTGACTTCATGTACTTTCAATCACTGATACCTGTTTCCTGTGAGGAAATGACAGTGATGTCGTCCCATAGCAAGTGCTGTGGACTATTTCAGCTTCCAGACACATGTAGTTTTCAGCCTGTGGCTCGTGGGATTGTGTGAATTGCTTGTAAAGGATTTGTGAAGTGAAATTCAGAAGCGCAAGCCTTGCCCAGGAGGTTTTAACTTACTGTCTGCTGGTTCTGCCTCTTGAAGGGCTGCAGAGAGCACAAGGCTGAAGCCTGCTAATACAGGCAACCGAAGCACAGGAGTGTTTCTATAGCAAATGGTGTGGTCTGCACAGAGGCTTTCTGAGCTTCCACCAGCCAAAGTTTGGGAGTTCCCATAGTGCCAGATGAACCCAGCAGCTTTGCTCTCACTTTGGCCTGGCATTTTAGCACAGGTGTGGCACTGCACGCGTATGGCTGTATTGCTTCCAACCCAGCACTGCTTTCCTGTCCCTCCACGAGTCTTCCAGTGCTTCTGATTCCAGGTTAACTTGTTCAAAATCAGTTCAGATGTTTAAAGTTCAGTGTGTCAATGTTTTCTACCTCTTGGAATTAATTGGCTTGGATTTGAATTCAGCAGTGACTGTTCAACCAACTTCTGTTTGACTTGTAGGCATCGAGTTGAAGCCTTTTCGGACAGCAACCACTTTATGTGTTCCTGATCCTGTCTTTAATGATGAGCATCATCATTCTCTGTTGGTTCCAGCTGATGTCCCAGTTCAGAGGCTTCTGGTCAGTGCATTTATGGCACCAGGAGCAATTGGAGAAGGAATCCAGTTTGAAGTCTGGTGCAGGTACAGATTAACATCATATTCTTATGAGATGTCAGAACAACACAGAGGCACATCTGATATTGAAGAATCTCTGGCTATGGAATAGTTATTAGGTAGGGAGTGAAAAATGAGTGAACTTATCAGCATTAGGTGATGCAGACATGCATTTAATGTTGGTTAAGACATTTGGACCTTTTCCTCCCAAAAATATTGATTACATTCTTATCTTACATCTTTTCTTACAACTTTATTAGCAAGCACACGTGAGGAAGGGTTAACACAGGACAAGCTACTTGGCTTTCTTACATGTTGTTACCAACATAGTGATCTAAAAGCTGTTTAAATGCTCAGCACATCTAAGTTTTAATAGCAAGCATGATTTTGTTGTTTTGGTCTGTAGTCAATGTCTTCAAGAGACTATACTGTAAAATGCTTTGTGGTATAGATTAAGATGAGATTCTCATTTAAGCAAAGCTCAAATCAATTTTTTTTGGCAGCTAATTACTAGTGATGGAAAGTAGAGAACATGAAGACAGGCAGCTTTAGAAAAGCACAATTGTAAGAACTGTCCTCTGTTCTTTCTGTAGTAAACAAGCTCAGCTATTAAAAATTCACAAGTTCCTATGAGAATTGTTATGTGCTGGGTGTGTTCACATTAAAATTGGTAATGAACAGAGCAGCTAAAATTACCAGTGACCAGTTTGTCACCTAGCATAGCATAAATCTGTTTTTCTCCCAGCTGGACAACTTGTCCAGAAGGATGCCATGAGGGACAGTATCCAAGGCCTTGCAGAACCCAGAAAGATTACATCCACTGCCATTCCTTCACTCTCCAAGCAGGTGACCTTATCTTAGAAGATCCTATCACTCAGGCAGGACTTTCCCTTGGTGAACCCACGTTGGCTATGCTTGATAATAATAGCAGAAGCCAACAGATGTGATTCTGCAAGGTGTCAGAAAGGTTGGAGAAAACCACTGAGAGTATCCAGTCCAAATGTCAAACCATTCCCAAGTGCCACAGCTCCACAGTTTTTGAACAGACACCTCCAGGTCTGCTGACTCACCACCTCCCAGGGCAGCCCATGATGGTGCCTGACCACTTTCAGAGAAGAGATTTTTCCTCCTATCCAACCTGCTGGGGTTACACGTTCAGGGTCTATCCCTGATGCAAAAAGTGTAAAAGAAAATGCAGCTCTATGCCACTACCACATCACTCGGTCACTGCTACAGCAGATGCCTTTCTCTGGTCTGTTTGTTGTTCATTAGATATGATGTTAGAACTGGCTCTAAGTGAAACAGAGCAGCACAATTAGAAACTCTCTAGAGTCATTTTATACACTCAGAAACTGGTGCAACTGATCTGTTCTGCAAGTAGAATCATGGGATGATAGAATGGCCTGGGTTGCAAAGGAGCACAGCGCTCATCCAGCTCCAAGCCCTGCTGTGTGCAGGTCGCCAACCAGCAGCCCAGGCTGCCCAGAGCCACATCCAGCCTGGCCTTGAATGCCTGCAGGGATGGATGGGGCATCCACAGCCTCCTTGGGCAACCTGTGCCACTGCCTCACCACCCTCTGGCCCCAAAACTTCCTCCTCGCATCCAACCCAAACCTCCCCTGTCTCACTTTCAAGCCATTCCCCTTGTCCTGTCACCATCCACCTTCGTAAACAGTTGTTAAGTAGCATTCTTATTTATTAACAGAAATTGAGAATGGGGAGTATTTGGTGCCAGATCCTTCTCTTGTTTTCCTTTGGGATGTCAATTTTTAATACTTTTTGATAGCTGCCTTGCTATGATTACTGCAAATGTACATAGGTAGTGTTACCTATGTGCTCAGTCTACCCTGAGCACTTAGCTGAGTTTTCCCCCTAGCTATCAGGAGACTGACAGCTGTGGTCTGAAGACATGCAAATTAAAATTGGCTTGCATGCATTTTGAGAACAAAAATGATGATTGTTTTGTCATCATCCAAATGATATTCAAATCATATCCATGATATGACTGGCAATGCTTCTTTGTGTCTTCCCAGGTATTATTACCCAAATGTCAGAGACCAGATGGTTGCCAAAGGGACCTTGCCTTTGTCACGGCTGTGTGCCATGATAACGATGCAGCATCGTGAAGAAATAGGAATACAGACTTTTAATCTTCCATTGCTGCCCAGGACTGATTCCTCAGAAGAATTTCATCTGCGGTCTTCAGGTAAAGAAGTCTTGTGGTTTTTCACTTTGTGTATAAAGGTGGAAGTCTGTGCATTCACTGCTAAGGTAAATTAAAAGTAAGTCTTTGTGTTGCCAACTGATACGGGGAGTGTTTTTCCTCCCAGCTGTCCCTGTCACCACACCTAGTGAAGAATCAACGAGAAACATGAGCAACCTCAAACTCTAAGAAGTTTTAAATAGCCCTCCCTGTATTGGGAACTGCTCAGTTGTCCAATAAATTAAGGACTGTAGTCAGGCTTCTCATGTAAGGTGATGGGTGGGAGGTCTGAAGAAGGGCTGTGTATGATGTGTGATATCACAGAATGGTTGGAGTTGGAAGGGACCCTTAGAGGCCACCTGGTCCCACTCCCCGCAGTGAACAGGGGCACCACAGCTCCATCAGTGCTCACAGCCCATCCCCTGACCTTGGCTGTCTCCAGATCCATCACCTCCCTGGGTAACCTGTGCCCAGTGCTTCACTGCCCTTCTCATCAACAACTTTTTTAATTATCCAATCTAAATCTCCACTCTTTTAGTTCGAAACCATTTCCCCTTGATAGAAGCAGAAACATCTCTTTGTTCTGTGATTGCTCTTTCAAATAATACAAACATCAGCTCTGGGAACTTCACTAAGGAAATCTGTACAACTTCTCATCACAGAGGCTTAGCATTAAGTGTAGATACAAAAGTCAGCTTCTTGGAAAAAGTGCCCATAAGAAGGCTGGGGAAGAGGTTCAGTATGCTTCAGTTATTTCAGAATAGATTGTCCACATGCAGCAGAAAATGTCATGGAAGCTTTTGTCACTGCAGTGCTATAAAAAAGATGTGTTGAAATACTGCAGTGGATTATTTAAAACCTCTTACAATAAATGCACGCATGAGGGCATGCTTAACTCAAAGCTGTGTCATCAATCTGACCCTGAGAAGGGCCATTAAGAACACCTGACCAGATTGCCAGGCGGTCAGGTTGCAGGATGCACTCCTTAACATTTCCTTCTGTGCCTCCTGCATCAGGCCAGAGTTTCTATCTGAAGCAGAGCACCTGGCACAGTCAGTCTGAACAAGCTTTAATTCCCTGCCAAGCATCTCTTGTTTTTCCTATGTTTTTTTTTCCTATTTTATTTCATTAATAGAATAAGTCTTGTATTAAGATTTGAAGCTAAGTGTTGGTTGTATTGGATGCAGCTATTTAAAAAGCTGACCATTTCTTTGCTTTCTTTCTCTCATTTAATGCAGGCTTGCTTGATGTGAGTGTGAGATACCAACGTTCTGTGAAAACGACAGCAGGAAGAACTGCTCAAACTGTTTCTCTTTCTGTACAAATACACAGGGCAGCTGGTTTGCAAGCAGCAGCCAGGTAAAGCTTCGTTCTGAAAGGAAGATCTGTCTCTTAAAACCACTTTACCTAGAGGCAGCAGGCTGAAATATCAAATCAGAAACAAACAGTAACTGGCCAACTTCCCATCGGCAGCAACCGAGATTCACACTGGGCTCTGATCCAAAGTGAAAATACTTTTGTGAAGAAGACCTGTGGTTATTTTTTTGTCCCTGAAACTGCAGTACGATGTTACAGTATTCATTCTACAGAAAGCTCAAGACAGTAAGAGCAGGGAATGAAGTAGTTTAGACTTGTGATGCACTAGCAGAGACATCATACATGTTCTTACAGCTAGCAAAGCTGTAGCCATAGCTGTTGACTCCTTAGTCTTCTTTCCAGTATTATCTCCTCCCACGTTTTCCTACACTGAAGGCTGGTACCCATGTGGGCAGTGGATCTTAGTGCTACCATGCTACTTGAAAGCTAACTGAGATTTGTTTTCTTGAATTTCCATGAAGAAACATGGGTAAATTAAAATGACACATCCCTTTCCAACGGAATGCTGTCGCTTTAATGCATGGTATAACCTGAATGTAACTCTTGAGAACTGCATATGGGAGGAGATAGATGAGTGCTGTTGTTTTAGCATACTGCCTGCTGAGCTGTTCTCATGCTCATTCAAGTAGACTCCATACAATGAATATCACTCCCATGCAGTGCTTGGAAAAGTTCAGGAAGTCAAATGACCTCAGATTTTTCATTCTTGAAGTGTATGACCTGAATGCTACCTGTGTCTGCTGTACTCATTAAGAACTCTATCTGCTAATTTCATCACCTTTTCCTTGGCAAGTCTAGTGGGTAAAAATAATTTGGCTTGACCACTTGCTTCCTTCTGCAGTATGTTCTCTGAGAAGTTATCTTGCAGCTTTTTCCTATGGTATGGGATCTTTTTGAAGGAGCTCAGTACTTTCTTAATAGCTTTCGTCTCAGATCCTGGCGATAAGAGCACAGCAGCCAGGTGCTGGGCCTTGTGATAGTTACTGTCACCATTTCATGTCTTCCCACTGCGTTCAGATGTGAAAGTGATGAAAATAATCTTCAGCCAGAGCCCACATCAGTTTTAACTTAAAACATTCACTGTTTTGTCCCATCTTTTTGCCACACAGATAGGAAATGTCTCTTCTAGTCGCTCTGGTTGCTGTTATTTCTCGTGCTTTGTATTCATTTCCTTAATTGTTTTCTTTTGCATACCAAATGAAGAGCTGTGGCAGAAAAGAACCCTTCGGTGCGGTACTATGCAGGTGTTGGAGTTAATGCTTACGTTTCTGTGCACCTCTCCTTCCTACCTGAGACAGAGAGGCACAGCACACGAGCTGTGGCTCGCAGCTTCTGCCCAGAGTTTGAGCACCACGTGGAGATCCCTTGTAACCTCATTGTTCAGAAAAGCAGCGGAGAAGCCTCTTGTCTGGGGGAGCTCCTGCAGTCTGCCAACATCACTTTCTCTGTCTACCATCAGAACGTCAAGTCAGGTAAAGAGAACGAGTGATTATAATGCCCAAATGCATTTGCATAATGATCTGGTCCCCTTAATTTTCGTTGTAGAAGACAAACTATTCTGTGCAGTTGTTCATAGATGTAATCACTTAAACTGTCATCAGAGATGGCTTTGAGAGGCGCTTTTCGCCTCAGGCGAAGTGTTGGGATTTCCAAGACTCCAGGTTGTCAAGATAACCTTTTAATTTTAAAGGTAATTAATTAACAGTAATACTGCTTGACTCTTCCTTGACCTCAGAAGACTTGAAAGGTGGGCCTGAGTGAATCCAATGGGGTTCAACACAGCAAAGTGCAAGGTTTTGTACTCGGGCTGGAGGGATCCCAGGCATTTATACAGAGTGTTGGAGCTTGGTGATCCTTGAGGTCCCTTCCAACCCCAAGCCATTCTGTGATTCTTGGAGCACCCTGCCCTTGTATTTGTATGCCTCATTGCCTTTGCTTTATGAATGAGGTAACGGAGGTTCAGAAAAATGATACATTAAAATTCCCAAATGATTCTATGGCAGATGCACAAAATTCTTTTACAGCATGATATTGAGAATGGTTTTATAAACACAATTTAGCTGGAGATGACATTGTTTTTCACTCCCGCAGAAGCGACCCTGCACACAGCAGGGGGTTGGAACTAGATGGTCCTTGTGTCCTTTTCAATCCAGGCCATTCTATCATTCTATGATTCTATGAAAGTCAGGAGTGGCATATTGTTAGAGTAACTGAGTAGTAATGAACCAGCTGCCTGTAATGATTAATCACAGAATGACAGAATGGCCTGGGTTGTAAAGGAGCACAGCGCTCATCCAGCTCCAAGCCCTGCTGTGTGCAGGT